ATAATCGGAACATCTTTGGAAACGACATATGAGTATCTAGCTGGGAAAGATTGAGCAACTGCATTCGAAAGTTTCCAGCTCAGCAACTCGAAGGGGTCATCACCTCTGAAATGGGCTGAGAGAACAGTGGAACAATAGATTTATACGGGTAAAAATGCTAAAGCTTAACAGATTCCGTAGGATGTTTATGGTGCAAATTCAAACTATTGAAGAATTGTCGGCAAAATTAGGTTTACCCCGGTGGACTCACTGCAGTATACGTAATATAAACTGTACATCCAATGTAATCCATAAGCAATGACGATAGATGAGATATCGGTAGCAAATCGTATCGCATTCCGGTGAACACAAAAGCAAGGTGGAAAAGGTGGAACGTATTCTGGAAGTTGGCCGGACCCTTGTGTTTGTTCGTGAATAATGAGTCATATAAGATGGTACAGCGAAATGAATGCACGCTCAACTCGGATTTTGAACTTTGGCAGCGTGGGAGAATAGATGTCAGATTTCCTTGGGGCATTCCATGTTTTGCAAACGCGTACGGAAATAAAATTCCGACGGTATTCCAAACGACTTTCCTGCTCTGCCAGCTTGAGATGGTGGACTCTCAAATTACTGTTTTGACTGAGCGCTTGCAAATGACGGCACGTGTGATAGGGATCTCTCACAATCTGGTAAGTCAAAATGAGATCCCCGCGCAATCGCGAGCACTCGAAGCCTTCGATTACATGACAGATTATACAAACCCTTGACAATTTTATTTGCCCGGCCCTGGCATATCTCCAAGGCGGTGAGATCTCTCTACAGTTATTGCTGCCAGACCTGTATTGTGTACTCCACATGTGGACGTATGTATGTGTCGAGAAACTGGAAACCTTGTTTAGTCGAGTCGTCCAAATGCACGCTTCAGTAGGCCCACGTGTTGGATGCCCCACTTTGACACGGTTTCAGTCTGGTTCGGACAGCCAACGTCGGCCTGGACCAAAACTCCCAGGTTTTTCTTGCCAGAAGATGTTTCTAGCTCCAGGATGCCGAGTTTGTAGGAGCATACCACCTGGTTCCGTGTGTGCAGCACTCCATATTTGTCCACATTGAATTGAAGTAGATTCTCGATTGACCGCGCGTATACCATATCCAGATCGGCTTGTGGTACTGTGATGTCATCTGGTGTTTTGATCGCCCTCCACACTTTTATGTCATCGGCACAAAGCAAGCAGTTTGAACTTACGATGTGTGTGCTCACGTTGATATACGTCAAAAATAACTGCGGTCCTAGTACCGATCCCTGTGAGACTCCGCATTCAACTCGGATGGGATCTGGCAGCGATTCACTCACTCGTATATTCAAGTGCCGGTGTAGAATAAAGCTTCTAATCCACCTTAGGAACGAATCACCATTACCAAAGTTCTGGAGTTTGTGGAGTAGGATGTCATGGTCTACCTGGTCAAACGCTTTTTAGAAGTCGATAAAAGATTCCCTCAACACTTGTGCCAGGGTCTACTGCCTCGGTTCAGCTGGATCATGCTAGTAGTAGATTTGTAGTGCACGATCGATTTCGTTGGAAGCCATCTTGTTCCGGTCCTAATTAGTTAATTTCTTCCAAGGAGACTGTTAGCGCATCAAAACTAATAACTTCCATGGTGTTTGAAATTACTGGTAGTAAGATTACGGGACGGTAATTGGCTGGTGAATGCAGTACCGTAGCTCTGACATTTGCGGTTTTCTGCGCGCATTCGCTAGTAATCGTGGATCATTACATCATTCGATTTCCCTTAGTGTGTTCCATCACCCACTGGAAAAAGGCGGGAAGTTTATCTGACGGTTTCTGTGAAAACTGTGCAAAGCTTGTTCAACAATCCAACATGAATCATGCGTTTGACTAAAGGGCGTTCCGGTAGAGCTTTTATCCCTCATTTTATACCTATCTTATTTACTTTATATGCTCTTTCGATTGAGCTATATTTTGTCCATGTATGTAAAAAGATCTCACCACAATTCTCCGGATGAGGTCCTAAGATGGGACTTTCCTACAGGGAGTAACTCCTCGCCATTTTTGTAAGCGTTATTTATGTATTTATTGCATGTTTAAGCTTTTACATTTTTATCCATATTGTACTTGATGTCGCTTCTTTTAGGAATATAACACTGTTACTTAATAATAACCCTTAATTCTAGTTCACTCCAGATGAGCCTCCGTAGCTCTGATGCCCAGATATAGGGTACCCACAGCCTTTAGACCAGTGGTTCCCAACTTTTTCGAGGCCGTTATATCTAAAACGGGTCCAGTATAACCAATTACTCCAAAAAAATTTCGCTTGAAAAACAAATTAACTACTAGCTATCACACTGTTTTGCCAAATTATGGAATATATTTTCCTTTTTTCAACCATTCAAACAAATAAAAGACTCTTTTTTGAGCAATTTTTTCTGTAAAGAAATGAGACGGTTGATAATGCCTAGTTCCAATAATTTCGTTTAGCGCATGGTGCAGTTTCCTTCAATACACATCGTATGTCGTGCCCTCAATTAAAGCACTCCCTTGCTCTTTATTCATCACCAGTGTGGAAAATTCACTTTCACACCTGCATGGCTGGCGAATGAGATCAGAACTTTTAATGCCTTTTGCCCTCCTGATAGATACTGTCCACCAATATTTACCCAAAATGTTGCCGCTTGTGTGTTTTCGAAAAGTATTTTCCGTGGGTTGCGTTCACGAAGTCCAAGGAATAGTGCTTTAGCTCCGATTTCAGTGTCATAAAATATTCCTGTGTCCATTGTAAGAGGTCTTAGTACGCATGTATTTACTTGGCGATTTTCCAAATCAGGTAAATATTTGCACGCAGTTAATCAACTCACTTACTTTTGCTGCACGTTCGTCAAACCATGCTATGTTCAAGGGTTTTTGAAATCGGCGACATCAACCTCAAGTGCAGGAATTGTTAATAGGGCGGCGAATAACTACCTGAATCAAACGATAGACGAGCCACGTGGCAGCACTGCGGTGCAGGCTTGCATACGTAATTTAGGTAACAACATTTGCTACTTGAAATGTTATAATTCACTAAGAGATCACTGGTGATTCATCACTTATGGGTAATCACTTGTGTTTAGGTCGTTATCTAGGTTCATTGAACAATATTATTCCGTCAATGAGTTTATTTCGTGACTGAGCGATGATCCAATCCTTGTACTTTACCCCCCACCTCCCCCGTCAAATTGCATTCCACTCTTTTTGGGGACAATTACCCTCAGGTTGTGAACCATTGCTTTTGACCGATCAATAGTGGTTGGCTTATCGATAGTATTAGTTACATCGAATGATGCAAGAGAGCTATCGAGGATATTAGATGGGAGGTTGACGGATCTGTGTACGGAACGAAAGTATACGGAAGTATGACAGCGCTTAATAGTCAGCTATTATCGGCGCAAGTTAAGGGTGGTTTATAGTACACATTTTAGATAGTATGACAGATTTTAGTGCCTCCATCTTTTTTTAGCACTATGCGTATTTTTGGCTTGATCTTAGGTGCATAGACACTCTTAGTGTAGAGGGGCCCCTTCCAAGAATGGCTCTAGGGAGCTCTTCGGAGCTAGCTGAGAGCGGATCGCGAAAGACGGCTAGCGACGAGCCTGGGCCCGGAACTACGGAGCGGGAATATGTGGGCAGCGCAATAAATCAGACAAATACGCCGCTAGCGCAGCCCACAGGACTGAGGCCGAGCCGATTGACACAGCCCAGAACAAGCAAGTCGAGAGCTCTCGAACGACTCCTGAT